GTTCGCTTTTCGCTGCCACCAATGTAACACCTCAGACCTATCTGAAGACGGAAGAAAAAACAATACTCAAGCAGAATGTTTTTTTGACGTACGGCAGGGAGCAAGTGCATTGGCTTAGTTCAGAGACTCAAGAGATTTCAAAAGCAGACCAGCGAAATAAGCAGCTAATCGTACGATACTCTCAAACAAAGCAAAATAAGTGTTTCCTCCAAAACTTTACGATTTTGAATGCAAAGTCGTACACTCACGCCTATGAATTCGATAAGGAAACCTCTCATAGTCCAATCAGGTCAAAGCCCACTACCCTATAACCAACGTATTCACTTATAGCAATTCCAAATGAATATACAAATATACATTAAATATATTTTAGTTTACAGGTAATTTCTACCAAAATGGTGGCATATTACAGTAATACGGCATGACGTTACTCAACTACCCCGAGAAGTTCCATATACATACGAGATTGTTATCGGTTACCGCAACTAGAAATGCACCGTCGGAACTAATATCCGTAGCATTGACAACGGGATTCTTAAAACCCGAGTTAATACTTTCCTTCACCTGAGGATCCTCCTCTCGGTTCCCTCCCACACTGCATTCAGGCCATTCGAGAATCTGCAGCAAGCCAACACGTATTACATCACTCAGACCATATGAACTAAATAACATGTAACTCTTAATATTAAAGAACTAGTGTTACCTTGACGGGTTTAACCTTGAATTTCTTGCCGTTCTGTTCATTGACAACGTGCTCTTGAAGATCATAAACCCAAATTGTGCCTTCATTATCGCCACAAACAACAGCTCCAAGACCTGGTCTAGCTGTCACGTTGATGTATATCTCATCTGTCGTCTGCCATCGCAATTGGCCTAAAATCTCCGCAGTTACTATCTTTTTGGAGGATGCCACTCTTTTACGATTCAAAAGAACCTGAAAGGATCAGGGAAAAGTGGTTTAAAGATCTACAATTAACGGTTTATTCCGCCCAGTGGTTAAATATCGATCTCACCACAAACACCACCTCATTAAAGTCATTCGGATTGAGCAAATTACCAATAAAGATGGCAACGAATTCAGAGAACTATGCCTACCTGGGCAAAATCAAATACGTAGATTTCCCCTTCTTCCACACATTTCACCACAACGAGGTTTTCAGACAGACGTGCTAAACCATCAAAGCAAGGTTCACGGTTTGTTGGTATCTTGATTTCCATTGTTGGTACTCTGTAGAGGAACAGTTTCACTATGACAAGTTCGTGATTAACTGGTCCCAGCAATTTAAGCCCTTCTATTAGTTAATGTCCATATACTAGCCCTTAAATACAAGGTTATTAATCAATGGCTCTCGATCATAGCCTCACCTGTCTTCTGCAAATCTTTGCTTCCTAAAATCTTGAATAGCCCATGCAAAGACGCCGTCTTCGCAGCCAGCTAAAAGAGTATCGTAGCTTGGCATAAAAACGAGATTTAGAACGGGGTTGAGATGAGGTCGAGGGCAGATGAGGCGCATTATGAGGTGGTGTCGTGTTCTGTATTCTGGTGCCGAGGGTACGCCTACATCCCACACACAAACGCAGGCCTACGGAAATTGGAACGTGATAACTCATCTCAACGCAAACTGAAGACCACTTAGCAAATCAACAAAGTAATGCCGACAAATTCACTAACAGGCACACGTTTGGCATCCTTGCTATGAAATACCTCCAAGTTTTAAATGCATAAAGCGTTATTAGACTTTCAAAAAAAATTGTACGTAGAATTAAAACATGCCTTGGAATCACCAGAAAATAGAATTGTAGGTTTGGTGGGATGAAAGACCATGCAAGCTATCTCCTCTCTGTGCCCCTTCATCTCTGCATAGCAGACTAGTTGCTCTGGGTGGAGAAGTCGAATCTCTTTTAGCTTGCCTGCAGCTGCCAGGAGGTTGGTAGGGTGACCAGAGGCCATTTCAACCGTGGTCCAAGCAACAGCATAGAACTCCTGAGGAGGCAAACAGGTGAGGCAACTGATAAAGGAACGGTGATTAGAATACATAAAATTAAGCTTTAGTAAACCCCAACCAACTGTCTAGCTAATTAAAATCGACAAGTTGGCATGAAGTCTACTTTCAGATAAATACAACTGAATGGTGATCACGTTAGACATTGGCAGATAGATTTTCTTTACTACCAAAACTCTACGGAACATGGTTTACCTCTCCGACATGCTTGAAGCGCTTCAATACTTTTCCTGTCTGACAGTCAATGAGGCACACACACTCTCCACCACAAGTTGCAACCACAGACGTTGTGCTCCTCGGATCTGTGGGATTTGGCTCAAAGGCGCAGCGCCAAACTTTGGTGGAACAGTCCAATGGGTCATTATCTCGCGCATGGCAACGAATAAAGTGCAGAGGGTCGTAGTCCACTACCTAAAAAATGCAAGTATAGATGCTTGATAAATCTAACACAAGAGGACAAGTAGAGAAATTGGATGAAGCATTTCACCTCTCCAAGTTGAACAAGGCTAGGCACAGGGGGCACACTATCAGCGTTGACGGAAGTGTCAATGAGCTGACGAATAAATGCTTCATCTTCGAAATTCTTGGGTGACAAAGCATGCATATCGTCCGCATCGATTGAAGTTGAGGAAGCGAGGGTGTACGCACCAGAGGACCTGGCCCTAATCGCCTTCAACGTCGAGCCAGGTCTCCTTCCTCGCTTCGGCGGTACCAATTCAGGAGAAGCCGCGTCCTCAGTTTCCTCGGAACGTAGTACACCTTCAGAATCATCGATAGTAGCGATTTCAGCTAAAAACGCAAATAGACGTGCTTTTGTTCCGATTTCGTTGTGTTTGAGCCGGTAGGATAATTACAAACGATATGAAGTTTAGTAACGAACTAATATATTCCAAATTTATAAAGATCCCAAATACCGACCACGGACTTCACCCTCGCCTTTTCTTAGCCCACCACTACTCCTCCTAGTAGCTTCATCTTCTCTCTCATCTGAGAAGGGGCCCTCGGCTTCTTCATCCTCTTGGGCGATGGCTGCAACCATTAGAGCCTCTTCCTGGCCGGCAAGGGCAGCAGCAGTGTCGATAGCGCCGTAGGCAGAGAAACGCTTCATGCGGTTGGAGTCACGAGTTGACATCCGCAGAGTTGCAGGAGGAGGAGCGTGAGGAGGAGGGATCTTCACGTTCTGGAGGAGAGCAGCAGTTTCCTTCTCCTCTTGCTGAGCAAGAGCCCTGGAGGGTAAAGAAAGGAAAACGCCGAAAAATATACCTCAGACGTTCTAAAGTTACAGGCTCCATAACACTGAAGAGTATGAAAGACCTTTTTTGGGAATGTGATGCCGGCGGACGGCCGCGCTTGCCAGGTTGCCAATGGCCGGGAGTTTTCACGGGTTTGGGTGGGATTACGTCCTCCTGTTCATCCAAATCGCCATAAGCAGAGTAATCATGAGCTGCTGATGTGTCTATCATAGAATACTCCTCCTCATGCCGGCGAGCAACTGTTGATGCTCGCTTATTTACTCCACCACCCCGACCAGCAAGCATAAGACCAGGTCGGCGAGATCCCAGAACAGCCCCACTTGAGGGAATAGTACGAGTTCCACCCACGGTGTTGCGACGATGTGCCGACTGCCTGGCCGTGACCACAGATTGTGGAGCGTTGTTTTCAGAGTCACTCTGCTCCAAGCTATCTGTAGTTAAAGGATACCTCTATTAAAGACATCTCAGAAGAATCGAGACTTTAGCTTACTGATGGAACAGAAAACATACCGTCGGGCTGCCTTGTTGAATCAAGACCGTTGGCAATGCTGCCACCCACTACAGGAATTATGAGATCACCGTTAGGCTGACGCGCGGCAGAACGAATGACGGAATAGACCACAGTTTTGCCATGCTGCATTGCAGTTCCGATAATACCTGAAAGCCGGTCCAAAGGTTCATCAGGTAAAAGAGTCATGTTGTGTGCGGCTGCAACGGCTTCGCGTTCAGCCTCCACGGCCTTTCGATCCTCCTTCTTCTCACCATCCATATTGCCAGTGACGGCGGTGTTGGGGACGGCAGCTGTGGACGCTGCAGCTGCCCCCACTTGGTCTGCGGATTCTGATTCATCTTTTGCAGGGGCCTCTTCAGAAACTCCAGTAGCAGATGAAGGCTCTTCCACGGTGGCTGTGGCCGTATCATTGCCTACGGTTTCGTGAGACTCAGAGTCGGACCGCACTTGAACGTCACCTGCATGTTCCTCCTCATCCTCATCATCCACCACCTTCGGTGCAAGGAACTCTTCCGCAATTTGACGTGCCTAAATTTTGATACAACACAAATTTAATTCGTATCACTGACCACCGTACAATGTTAGCAAGCCCCAGCAACATAGGAAGAGAAAGTATCAGCATTAAAGTCGATAGTAAAATGTCATTTTTAAAACAATAAGCCACTTAAAACCTGTCAGAAAATAATGAAATGAACGAGCATTACCAAAACAGCCTTGCAGTGTTTAAACGGTTCATCCACAGTAAGACTCTGATTGACGGCGTGTGAAACCAGTGTCTCAATAACGCAAATGAGGTCACGGTGCGGCACACTCTTCTTAAAAAATTCCACCAAGTCATCTTCCCACTTTGAATGGACCTTTAAAAAAAACGACTAAGCTTACCAACAGATCATAGCATCCACATTGGTTATGCATTTGCAAAATAATTTTGTTTCCTTAAAGCCAAACCAAGTAATATCGCAAATGATGCCTCAAGTACCAAAGGGATGTCAAATGCGCTCAGCTAGAGCAGAAGAGTTTAGTCCAATCTGTCAGCCTTAATGCACGTAGCAATCAGGCAATAGTGAAATATGCCACTTCAAAGCCATTTCTGTTTAGCAAAGCAGTAAGTTGAAAACAAAGACCATACCAAAGCGGCCAGCTCTTGTTTCGCAGCTTGAGCGGTTTTGATAGTATCGTCAGTCGCTTCAACGTTGAATTCCTCGCCGTTGATGGAAGTCAGAAGAGGACACAAATACGCTAGTGACTGTGGTTTTAGCATCTGAAGTGGAAAAAAACAGGTTAGTCTAATCCCGATATCTCTGATATCGACGAATCTGTATGATTCGAGTTAAATCAACAAGCGGTCGATGCAGACCAGGATGGATTATAGTGCACATTAATATGGAAAATTCCTTTTCCAATTATTCTACACCCACCAACCTCTTTCAACTCAGGATCCAGATCGACGGAAACGAGTCTGGGGAATTGTTCAATTAGAGGTGGCCCGTTCTCCTTTGCGAAGCGAACCAAGAGCGGATTCTTGCTTAGGTTCAGACGTTTTAACTTAGGCAAATGAAGACATCGAGGCAAACCATGCAAACGATTGTTGGAGAGATTAAGTTCTACCAGATTGATGCACTGGTTTAGATGGATAGGCATTACTCCCGTAAACGAACAGTCAGGAAGGCTAATAAGAAAATTAGGTGTCAGTACGGGTATTTAAAATCATTAGCAATCATTGAAAACATTGATTACTCACCAGCATTCGTAATACAGAGACAAGTGACACATAGATGTTTCTTTTATCAACAAATCACTTTCAAATTCAGCTACCTCAAAGTACCAACTAGGTAGTGCATTTTAAATCCAAAATTCACACGAATGCACTTGAGTAAAACGAGTTGAGGAATTGTGTTTCAGGTATAAAATATCCTAGAATATTATCAATCAACAATTCCCGGCATATGGTGTACTTAACTCTACCTCGATAGTTAGTAGTAAAGGTACTCCATGCAAGTGCCCACATCCGTGGACGCAGGGAGGTATCACTCGCCTTAATATCCGAACCTTCTTCAACGTGTCTGTCCCAGTAACTGCATAGATGACAACATCGTCAAGGATGTTATGTTCTTCACAGGAGAGATCCAATGATATAAGCTTATCTAAAACAGAATTGACAACTTAGTGACAGAGTACAAAATCTAACTAAGAAGATGTTAACTTGCCATCCAATGATTCTGATTCGGAGCTATCATTTATGTCTAAACGCTCCAGTGGATCATGAAGTAACTGTTCTGCGGCCGAAAGATCAAGTTCCATAACTTGGTCCACCGAAAAGTACCTAAAACGGAAGACTTTCGCATTAGAAAACGCTGGTAGACATTGGAAGTGATCAATAAACAAACCTACCCTCTATCCAAGCTGGGAGCATGAGTGAATTGGCAACCACAGTTACGTACAACCTTCCGAGCCAATTCAGCAAGTTCCCTTCTGCGGGTAAGAAGTGCAGGTTGCCCAGCCGCCAGATAAGCAGCAGCTTCATTACACGCGGTTTCATAAGGCGTAAGGAGAGGAGAAGATCTGGCAGTTGTTGCTAATTGGGAGGCCACAGGATAGGGAGGGCTGATCACATTTGCTGATGAAACAGAACTGGTGGATTGAAGTGGAATCCGTCCATAGAGAGCTGCAATTTCACGGACCGAATCAACACGAGTGGCGTCATTAACAAGTAGGCTGGCAACCGCATGTGGATCGGCGGTATCAACAGTCGATTCGGTTCGCAATGCCGCCAGCTCAGTTGCCCGATCCCATGAGGCACGCTCAATATTTGTGCAATCTGATTTAGGCTTCACCTCAAGAATGGTGGGGAGATCGGTCAGAGCATTTATTGCAGCTAGTCGAAGAGCTTCCATCTCCGAAGCCGATAGCTTGTATGTGAGGTCGCGCTTAACCACGGCCATATTCGGTATGTAGTGCTGAAGGGTGCTAACACCGAGTGACTGCTTACCCTTGAGGCTCTGACCGACGAGAGTGTTCGCATCGCTGGAAGTGCCCTTGGTCGTATAGGCAAGAACAACCCCTCCTTCTGGCGAGATCGGTACTACATTACCCGTAGAAATTGCGGCTCCAGCGTGGGACATCACAACATTTGTGCTTACTGGAACATGATTTGGCTGAATTGCGGTCAAACCTCGTGACTCAAGCATGGCCAACTGGCTACTAGCAACTTGTCCACTGACAACAGCGCTCTCCGGTTGCGGTGGGTGCAACAATTGAGTTTGTTGCTGGATTTGATGTGACTGATAAGTTGCTTGTGCCGCCTTAATTTCTTGTGAGCATGCTTCCGCTACGCCCAGCGCCAGTTGATATAGTTCCCTCTTATGAAACAACAGACCCGGTTTGAAGCGGCATAGCTGAGAAGCAACTTCGTTAATGACCATTTCATTCACAGTTAGTGGACGGGCCTGTGGACCAGAACGGTAAATCTTAGCGTGACCTCGAAGCGCTTCATAACGCTCAAGTGTTTCCCCTTGATTTGCTCCGACAGCATACGTCTTCGCAAGCTCAACCATTTCCTGATAAGCTGCATATGAACCTAGTTTCCGCTGATATGGCTCAGAGGCGACATTTGGGAACGAGAGTTCCGGACGGTTCGAGAGTCGTTCGTGGACGATAGCCTCTGCGTGACGCCGAATAGTGGTATAGAGGTCATGAGAAAGACCAACAGGACACCAATTAGCCGCAGTTAAGCCAGCCTCACTTTCATCACCACTCCCATCATCCTGAGTTACAACAAGAACTGTCTGCACCGGTTCCCCATTTTCAGATGGACCCAGAAACACGTAGTCCAAGGACTGTCCATTGAGCTCAATAATCACGTGTTCCCCAACATTTCCCTGCTTCTGATCCATTATATTCCCTTTATCGTCTTCCAGAACCACAGTCTGGACATTTTTTCCGTCAACATTTGCTGTTGCCTCCGTAAGGGTGTACTGCTGACCAGGGGGAATGTCGCTCTCGACTTGTTTACCCTTCCAAAAATTACAAAAGCATTATCAATAAATTGCACGTTTTATCAAAGCCACGTAATAAGAAACACACCTCACTTGCTAACCACTGAGCTTGGGAATTTTCGTTAGACTCTGGAACGTTCACAAGATGAGAAGCAGTCGGCTCCTCGACACTCTCAACCGAAAGCAGTAACGTAGACTAAAGTTTTAAAAAAATTGGACGAGAACGTATCGGAAAGTGTTGATCGTACTTACCGTCAATGGTTCTCCAGTTTCAGTCGGGCCCCGAATTTCATAAGCAAAAGCTTGTCCATGAAGTTCCATCACTACTTGAGAGCCCGTTTGACCATGCTTTTGATCTATGACATTTCCAGCGGAATCCATGAGAGACACCATTTGTATGGGTTGATTGTCTAATAGGGCTGACTGTTCTGTAATTGTAAATTGCTCAGCATTCTCTACAGCAGCTGAAGTAGCAGTCGGGTCGGCAGACGCCACCTCCACATCTTCGCTGGTCGGCGCGGGGTCAGACGCGATAGAGCCTTCCTTCGATATAACATCAGCAACTTCATCATTAGCCTTCTTGCTATTGGAAGACTCCATCTCATATGGTGACGCAACAGCCACATCTTCAGAAACTTTTGCAACACTTTCAGATGGAGGGGGAATGGATTCAGGTTTGCTGTCTTCAACCGGGCCAGCCGCCTCCTAAAGCACATTGGAACAGAGGTAACAAAACAACAGTTCTAGAGGAAGAAAAAATCCCTGTAGCCAACAGTAGACTATAACATACGTCTGCCTGTAGTGGAAGCTGATCCTGCTCAACAGGAACAAGGGTAAGGACTTGCTTCCCGTCTTCGTCAATGACATTCTGAAGAGTAGCCTCTCCATTCATTATTCTCTTGGCGTCTTCGGGAGAAACCAGAGCATATCCCGAAGACTCATCATTTTCATCCATGAACAGCAATTTCACCAGCTCATTTCCATTTTCATCTGTAACGACCTCAAAGCCTTGTGACGCAAGATCATCCATCATTGTATCTCGACAAAATTAGACCTGAGTTGTCACAGCTAAGCAAGAAAAACCGAACCCCTCAATCAATTCAGAAAGATAAAACTTCGGGTGGATATACAGTTATTTAAAACAAAAACGTATCAAAACAGTCCTAATTATTTGGCATCGAGGAAGATATTGACCACCAAAATGAAAGCAGTTATAGAATCCAAGGCAGAACTGAACAAAGTTGCATTCTTAGGCGGACAAAAACGTATCTTTTCCGAATAAAATGCCGAAATACATCCAAATTTGATAAAACAAAGAGATGCGTTTAAACAAAATGTGACTATGAAGTAGGCGAACAAACATTTTAATTACAGACACTCACAACAAGAAAAGATTTGAATAGCAAATTACTTTAACAAAGATACATACATGCTAACTGTTGCCATTTTGGAGATCTGCGATGATAATAATAAAAACAACTGGATAGTCAACTTGGATGTGACCAAATTCCAGCATATTCTTATGCTCATTTATGCAACTTGAAGACCACTTATGTCGATTGTGACACTTCAAAAGTTCATGAATAAAATCATCAACTTACTCATTTGGTCGTATTTACTCTGCAAATGGTTTAAGTAGATTCTGAGTTTTATAAAAATATTATGCATTAAACATTTGCGGATTTTCCACGGCCCACCCATAGGATTATGCATGGTGTCACACATGTAGTCGGACAGAATGTGTAAAAGAGGTACGATGACTTGGATGTCAATGTGGCCGCCATTCGAAAAGATAATAAAAAAATTAAGCCCTAAAATGTGGTCTCTTGTTGTACTAATGCTCCGTCACTTCCCATCGAGTATTATGTTTTTTCTTCCGTCTTCAGATAGGTCTGAGGTGTTACATTGGTGGCAGCGAAAAGCGAAC